TGACTTAGTGATCGTTGTGGAGAGTTGTCGCCCCTAGATTCCTGACTCCGAGTCAGAATCTCAGACTTGTCCCAATTATCGTCAGTCCGAGTTTCACCGAAATGGTGAAGGTATTCACTCTTCACTTCTTTAATTTTCCCCTCACAATAGCCCGGAAAGCCGTTATGTAAGTGAAATATTATTTAAATCGGCGTTAAACCCAACTCCCTCACTCACTCACTTATATCCATTCAGGAGTTAGTCCGGGTCTTGTGTAGGCTTTTGGCTATGATCGTTTCCCCAGAGATGTTTTTTTGTTTGTTTTTTTGTTTAACGCCGCACTCTGCAACATTCCAGTTATATGACGGCGGTCTGTAAATAATTAAGTCTGGACCAGACAATCCAGTGATTGATATCATGAGCATGGATCCACGCAATTGGGATACGATGACATGGAGCAACCAAGTCAGCGAGCCTGACCACCCGATCCCGTTAATCGCCTCTTACGACAAGCATAGTCGCTTTTTACGGTAAGCATGGGTTGCTAAAGACCTATTCTCCCATGGATCTTCACGGGCCCCCCAGCGATGTGGAGCGACACATTCCCATTTATATTTATAGATATAACAGTACACACCAACGTGATTCTTGGGGATTTTAGACCTAAACTGTTACAATTACTCTTTGCATTTATAAAATAATTAGAAAGAGCAATTGTAACAGTTTGTACCAGAGACCACACAATAGATGTCTCTGGTCTGTACATATTAATTAGATTTTATTTTATATTAGCTGATGTTGTTATTTCATTGTTTCAGTTGACGTACGTATTACATTCTGAAAAAAATCTACATGCTGAATAACGTCATCAGCCTCACATCCTGCAGCTGTTTGTGGTCATTGCCGACGCTACCTCGTCGACTATCAGATGCCCCAAACATGTCGCTGTCACACAGGTGTATGCTGCTGATCGTCAAGGCCGATTACAATGGAGGTTGTGCGGATGCGCGTCACGTACCCCGATCGTTGCTTAATGAATGTGGGAGAAAAGTCCGAAGTGATGCAGGTCTCAGACGTTTACCACTTCGGTAAAACCCACGAGCACGGGTATGGTGCTGACAAACCTAGAAACATGATTGGGGCGAACCGGGATTCGAACCCACAATCATAGGTTCTGGCGTGCCCAAGGGACACAATTCTGCACAGCGAATCGCGGCGCCTTAGACGACTGGGCCACCCGTGCCCCGAGTGACCGTGAACGCCCTAAATGGGGTCAAAGAGAAAAGGCCATTCCCAGTCTTCCCCTCCTTGATATTGTCTGGCAACAATTGAAGAAATAGACGGCCGTGTTTTTACATAAAAGACAAAAAATATAATTTCAATCAACGATACAAACACTAGTTTTATGACATGGGTAGGGGCTGAGCCAGGGCGGACGCTTCTAACATGTGTCTATCTTTAATATACTCCATGTTACCTCTTTCGGCATGTGATGTCCTTTTTAATACTGGGTAATCGACCGGACTAAGACATGCCGCGATTAACAAACCTTGTTTCAGAGTTGTCCTTTGTATATATGGATAAACATTCCTAGAGTATTTGTCTGGAGCGTGGGCTTTCTAGACTAACAGGGTTTACGGACTAATAGAGTTTCTGTACTAACAGGGTTTCCAGACTAACAGGGTTTTTGGACAAATAAGGTTTCCGGACCAATAGGGTTTCTGGACTAGCAGGGTTATTGGACAAACAAGGTTTCCGGACTAATAGGGTTTCTGTCCTAACAGGGTTTTTGGACACACAAGGTTTTCGGCTAATAGGGTTTCCGGACTAACAGGGTTTTTATACAAACACAGTTTCCGGACTAAAAGGGTTTCTGTACTAACAGGGTTTCCGGACTAACGTTCTTTTTAGACAAACAAGGTTTCCGGACTAAAAGGGTTTCTGTTCTAACAGGGTGTTTGGACACACAAGGACCAAATACCAAAAAATGTTAGAAGATTGTTCTTGTTACCCTGTCTGGCGCTCGGCATTAAGGGGTTAAAACAAGGACTGGTCGGCTCGGAGTCCGTATACTGTGTCTGAGTGGGATATTCATGTTAAACTGCGGCATTGTATCTCAGTATGCTAGCACTATAAATCGGCATCACTCCGGACTAGTACAAGCAGCCACACACACACACACACACATACACGTGCATGCACGTCGCTATATAAGTGCAATAATCTTGGACGCGACGTTAAACCCCATTTCACCTCACCTCCTTACTCGAACATATAAAAGTCAGAACGAATGCCTGCATAGTGAGAAAGAAATGTGAATATTAGCTATACTTGTAGTGTAACCATTCAGTTTTATTGTTTATGTCATAACATCATATCACGTGACTAACCCCGGGTCCGGGTAGTCATGTGGGTACCCGGGTGCTCCTCAGGACCCACCCGACCCGAGTACCCGAGTTACCCGTCCCATCCTATTGTTTACCTTCAGGAAATACCCTTTCCTACGGTGAGGTGAGGTGAAATGGGATTTAACGTCGCTTTCAAGATTATTGCACTTGTATAGCTACATAAAATCACGTATCTGTGGCTTCTTGTACAAGGCCGGACAAATGCTGGTTTTATAGTACTAGCCCACTGGGATACCCTGCCGCAGTTTAACATGGATACCCCACTAAGACACGGTAAATTGACTCCGAGCCGACCAGTGCTTGTTTTAGCCCCTTGCCAAGCGCCAGACAGGGTAACTACAACGTCTTTTAGTATGACACGGTCGGGCATCGAGCCCCGGACCTTCCGCTCTCCGGTCAAACACTCAATTCATTAGACCTGAGACGGACGCTACGGTAAATAATACAATTTACATTTGGGGAAATATATTAAAGATGTCTCATCTGGTTCTGTGATCCAGGTAACCAATAAAATATTAATGGTAATATACAAACACGTTTTACATATCGCACATTCTTATTTTATATTTGCATTCCAGAAAACTGGTTTGTCTATCTGGTAGCTTTGAAATGCATTAACAAAATATCTATAATATCTACCAGAGTTTTTTCATGCATACGAAACGAAAGTGATAATGTGATATAAATGGTTATATGTACATACTGATGTACAGTCAAGTTTCGTTAATCCGACACTCGTTAATCCGACACTCGGCAATGTACATTAATTATTTTGTTATAATTCAAATGTACAGAACAGGTAGCGAGCTCGCTATTTTAGCGGGATGGAGGGGCGTCGTCTACATCACGTGACGTGGATATAACAGGTAACACCACGTGACCTAGATGATGGATGAGGTCGCGTGGCAAGGGGAGGTCACTCATGTGTAACGGCGTGAGAAGTGTATTCTGCGCAAGGGTCTACACGCTCGCCGATTTGCGCGTGCCAACAACCGCGCCGAAAATAAAATCAAGCTACGGTCTGTTTTATGAATCAGATGTACCTCCGGTCAAGCTAAGACATACCTGATGGGTCATTGCGGGGGTGTCCCTGGGGTCAGGGAGGGGTCACACCTACCGGACACTGTCCGGCACATCTAGATCTTCTCACTAAATAAACAGAAAATAAATCTCTCCCATAAACGATTCAGAAATCATATTACAGTTTTTATCAACAGAATAATTGAGCTTGTCAGAACTGACCGGCGTTCAATCATACCACCAGTGCTAGGTAAACACGGAATATAATTTTGGAGGTTTTTTTAGGGGTAAATACGGGTGAAAGTCTACAATAATTTTACAGAAAGTGTCAAGCAAAGACTGAATACATGTTGACATGCGTTTGTTCTGTATCTGCCAGGCTGAACTTGATTTCAATTTGTGAGGAATGCCTGTGAAAATGGTTTTAACAAAATACATTGCAAACATTCTGAAAATGACAGAATGATTACATACCACATCAACAGATAACACTGTTTTGAAATGCGGAATTTATGAATTTAACTGCTTGGCAAAAGATGGACGTGGATTTGGATTGATCAATTGAAAATTGGATTTGACCAAAAGATTACAAACGTTATCGAAACGTTACTGGTATGAAAACACTCCGAAACACTGTAAAAATAAGATCAAAAACATAACTTATGATGCCGGGATCAAATACTTTTTTGTTTTATTTTTTGCTACCGTATATGCAGCATGGGGGTATACTTTCTTTTGCCAGGTTGTTTATTTCGTTTTGAATTTCATTATAGCCACTCAGCTGCAAACCCCTACGTCCATATGTATATATTTGAATTAATAATATATTTGGGCATTTCTCATACAGCATTGTATAAGATTCCACTCCATGTGAACGTGACCCGTGAAGATCCGGGATGGGTAGGTCTTCAGCAACCAATGCTTGCCGTAAAAGGCGACTTTACTTGTCGTAAGAGGCGACTAACGGGATCGGGTGGTCAGGCTCGCTGACTTGGTTGATGCATGTTATCGTATCCCAATTGCGTGGGTCGATGTTCATGATATCAATCACTGGATTGTCTGGTCCAGACTCGATTATTTACCGCCGTCATATAGCTGGAATATTGCTGAGTGCGGCGTTAACCAACAAACAAACAAAACTATGTGAACGTTGTGGGTACCCCCACTAGAATAAGCAGAACCTGCTCCGATGTACATTGTACATTATGTAACTAAGACTTAAGACACAACTATGATACACCTATCCCTTCATAGTGGAAACAACGCATTGACAATATAAAATACCTGCATCAACATAACTTCAAATGTCGATGTATAAGAGCTAATGTTGATCTCTTGCTGGTTAAGATTTTTGGGTAACACGGTGCATACCTGTACAATGTTATATTCGAAAGAAGCGTGGTTTATACAGATATCGGCCATGATACAAGTTTTTGGCCTCTGCACTAAGCAACCAACTGCCGCTAGAACAGAAACTGTCTCCAACGCTTCCATCTTCGAAGGGTGGACTGTAAACACATCTGTTACAGAAATATTACGGCCTAACATGAATTGTTCTTCATATCATGCATCAGTTTTATTAACCCTTTTGCGCTATAAGAACCACCTGTGAATGGAATTTTGCACAATACAAATGTACTTCTCTTCTTCTTCTCCTCCTTCTTTCTCTTCTCCTTTCTCTTCTCCCCTCCTTCTTTCTCTTCTCCTTTCTCTTCTCCCCTCCTTCTTTCTCTTCTCCTTTCCCTCTTTTCCTCCTTTCTCTTCTTCTTTTTCTCCTCCTCCTTTCTCTCCTACTCCTTTTTCTTCTCCTCCTCTTTCTTTCTCTTCTTCTTCTCCTTCTCCTTTTTCTTCTTCTTCTTAGCATTAAAGGTATGTGTTTGTGTCTGTTTTTACTTACATTTTGCAGTTTAAAATGAAGGTCTTAAATTGACAACCACATACTGCGTATGAAAACAAATAATTTAAATAAGTAACGAGTGTGGAAATAGAAAAAGAAATATCTTTGTTGTGGGTAAATTACAAGATGTACGTTTTCTGAGCAGAGTAGGAGTTCAGTCGGAACGGGGGAGATGGTTCGAGTTTTAACCTGGTTTTAAACACCCAATATCTTGATCCCGGCGTTTAGAAGGGATATTGAACGAAATAGGAAACACTCCAAAGAGTATCATTGTGGGTGGGGTGGTGTATCAGTGCGGGGTGAGAGTGAGGGGAGGGGATCCCTGTGTGTGGTGAGGGAGGTGAAGGGGATGAGTTTTCCTCCCCACTGTCAAGTCGTCATTCCGCCTCCCACAAACTGACCACAAACCTATCAATGCTTACTCAAGGTTGAAATAGCTTGCTTTATGATCGTCTCATGAAATGGTCGTTAGTCCAACTCGCCCTACACCTGAGGTAACCTGACAGGTGTGTTGACAGCGTCCAATCTACCTGTCACACCTACACATCCCCGCCGACCCGCATAACGCCGATCCCCACAACTGCTAGTGTCCAGATAACATCAACTTGACCGCTTCTCCAACCACGCCACACACGCCGACTCCAGATCTATGTAATGTACATTCCAGACCGTATTTGTGTCCAGGGGTAATGAAGTATACACCGTCCTCTTCTCACCTCGGACCTGTCAACTTGTGTATGCATGGGTGAAAAGTCTGGCAATATTTGAAGAAATAGAGACGGCTGTGGTTTCACACAAAAGACACCAAATATCATTAAATTAAACGATACAAACATTAGCTTAGCGTTATAGGTAGGGGCTGAGTCATGGCGGTCACTACCAACATGTTCAACTCTAAGCTTCAAATGTTTTTTTTTATAAATTCTTCGTCTTGTCTTTTTTTAATACAGTAAAGTACGGTTATAACGAACTCTAGGTGAAGAATAATTTTAATTCGTTATAACCGTTGTTCGTTATAAGCATATGTACAGTATATATACAGCAAAATGACGGGACCAAATACAGTTAGTTATATCCGTCAGTTCGTTATGAGCGTGTTCGTTATAAAAGTAGTTTACTGTATGGTTTTATGGACTCTGAAATGTCAGTATGTATAATCTTAAATACTGGGAACATGTAAATAACATTTAGCATACAATGCGTCAAGTTCTCGGCAGGATATAGCGGACAAAAATATATCCGTTGGGGGCACCCCCGGATAAATATGGAAATATGAAAGGTTAGGTGCTTTTTGTCGATTCTCCTGTCAGTGTTTACCAACAAACATGTCGTCGCCCTTGTCTATCGTCGATCGAGTCCAAACTGAAAATCGGGGTTCTGATCAAATTACTTGGATAACTTTCATCATTATTAAAATAATAATCTAAGATACCGAAAATCGGTGTTTAACAGGGACGTAACTGATGCCTGGGACACGTGACTGAATTTCGTTACGTTATGACATGCCATGCAGAGTATAACAAACGCCTCATAGACTGGAGTAACGTCCCTTTAGCAAAGGGCAATTACTCTTGCGGGCGGACTGAAGGATTGCCGCGAAAGGCGATCACTGACACTGAAAAAAATATGTATAGGCAATTGTGTTTTGGCCTACATGTAAATGGTAGTTTAAATACAAGTTGAAGTTGGAACCAACTACTGTCACTACCCGACTGGCTAAACGCCCACCTTTTAACGTAATACATTAACGCGCACATTCCAGGAAAACTTGTTAAGTTAGGGTATCGTTGGAAAGAGATGATAATACGTGATCGACGATAGAAATTAAGAATTACGTTATATGATAAACAGCTTATCACGCTTGTGTATTTTGGGATGGTAAATATCCTCAATTAAGAAGAAACGTTGAATTTAGTAAGCCTTGGCGTTGGTATTTACCATCCAAAAACACACTTCCGTGGTAAACTCTATTATTAACCCTTTAGCTACCCCGGCAGGTTTTAGTATCTTGTCAGCCAATAAGGCTGGATGCTTCAAGTACGCGACTCTATGCCTATATAAGTATGTTTCATCTCCTTGTTTCCTTCTCCCTGACTTGCAGTTGGCAGAGAGTACGAGAAGAAAATACCTACATTTAAAATAAGCAAAACCACAAATGATTTATGGAAATGAATGAATACTTCTAAGTTTGGATTAAAAAACTGAGAAACTACACGTCACCATCAAACAGGACGAGAATCTGCACCTGCGTGGCGTTACGTATTATGGGCGTATGGCCTTCATACTGAATAAATCTATGTCTATCTGTATCAAAAGAAACGCAGGTACGAGTTAAATCACCACTACCAATTGCCTTCCCAAAAACATATTTACACCGTTTTTTTCCAAAATTTGATATCACTTAGTTTTAAATTCATTTTCTATAAATGGTCCAAAATTCAGAATGCCTCCCCAGACCGGGAGTTGTAACGTAACCACGCCCTTGCATGATATATATTCATATCTAGACTATCTAACTTATCTAACAAGACAGACCGCTTGAGGCCCTCGTACATTGGTATAAGCTCTTTGCAGCGTGTCGTCGCCAGGCTCCACACAGCCACCTGTACGTCCCATCCCATGACTCATGCATGTCGGAAGGTTTTTAGCCGAAAACTTGAGATGTCAGGGTGTAATATATTCTGTAATCCCGTCTCAGGTCTGGCGCCATTCCCTTCGCCCTCCAGCTAGACCCGAGCTCGTGAGCCGCGCGTGGCGTCACGGACCGTGTCACATATACCTACTATATACAGAGAACTATAAGTTAGACAACGAGTAATGTTTGGCTGTCTGTGTTTCGGGCTCAAGAAAATGAGAGCCTTTCAACTGTATCAAAATCTCACTTTTAGGTAATAACAAACGTAGGCGCTTCTCAAGCATAGATAAGTGTAGCAATAAAACATTGTTATCAAAATGGGCGATTGAAAATACACCGACCTACTTCACTTCAAGACGACGGGCGCAATAATTATTTTAAAGCTTTATTAAACATTAGTAATTCACTCGGTGTGTTATACCCCATATTTATATTTATATTGCTTCCCAATTCAGATACTGAAATTGCGTTTGAAGAAGCTTGAGAAAAATTCGCACAAAAGAGCATATTCAGTGATCCGCTATTCATGACAAGGAACTGCCACGTGCTAGGGCAATGTGTTCAACGAAGTGTTAGTTTGTCGTTGAGAGCTTTGATGGCCAATCCCAATGTGACAAACTGTGTGGTTTTATTCGGTTAATGTTGATGTAGTGATATTAAAGGTACGGTTTATCATGTTAAAGCACAACACATTTTGAAATTAACCAGTCCTTAGAAACATATACTCAGTATATGATTAAGTGTTTGAATGGCGTTTAAAAGCGATAGACACGAGGATGTGAATTTATGGATGTCAACTTCTTTATTATGAGGAACACAACATTTCGGAGTATTTACTTACTCCTTCATCAAGTGAATAAATGCAATGAAGCAGAGCACATACACATGTATCTGGAAGAACAACAAAAACAACATAACATGACTGATGTTATCGACAAACTATGCAGCCAGGATCTCGTGTAAAAGCGTGTATACATTTAATTATTACAAACTGGATTTTTTCTGCTTCACTTACATTTATTACATTTTAAACATCGATACATGGTGTGTAATAAATATATACTGCTTAGTTGTTGATACGGAGCCTGAGAAATACTACTTCAAAAGAAGTTAGACCCGTGAAGATCCGGGGTAGAATAGGTCTTCAGTAACCCATGCTTGCCGTAAAAGGCGACTACGCTTGTCGTAAGAGGTGACTAACGGGATCGGGTGGTCAGGCTCGCTGACTTGGTTGAAGCATGTCATAGATCCCAATTGCGTGGATCGATGCTCATGATATCAATCACTGGATTGTCAGGTCCAGACTCGTAATACAGCTGGAATATTGCTGAGTGCGGCGTAAAACAACATACAAACAAACAAGGAACCAGGGATCGTGGATTCCAATCCTGGCCCGGTTTCACAAATCGGCCATAGCGCTACGACTGTCGTAACTCCTATACCACACTGTCTCCCAGACCTAGAAAATATAAAGAAATGAATCCAACTCAAGTCTACTATTATTTGGCAAGTCTAGATTGCCCAAACCTGGAAATAAGCATTGTTCTGAGCTCCATGTGGAATATATTTTTTTATTACAAGATATATTTTGATTAAATAAGATCACTTTATTTGGGGGATACCAAATCAAGTAAAGGACCACCAATCCTTTCATATTACTAAAGTGTATTAGTCATGCCACTGTCCTTAAATTATTTTGAGTGGTATATCGCATAATGAGACGAAACCCAGAGGATGTATGTATGTATGTATGTATGAATGTATGTATGTGTGTGTGCGTGCGTGCGTGCGTGCGTGCGTGCGTGCGTGCGTGTCTTTCTGTGTCTGTGTCTGTGAGAGCACTATTTATAAGTATATCACCAACAAATACATGTATATATTTTTGAATGTGTGTGTTTACTTGAGTGTGTGTGACTGATGGAGATGGATGTCTGTACGTAACTTACATGTATGTATGGGTCTGTCCATATCTGTGTGTATACAATGTTTAAATTGTATCTATATGTAGGGAATGTACATACATGTGTATAATCAAAGTTAATTATCATATATCATATATTTTAACTGAATCTCGGTAGCACGCATGCACGGTATCTCGTAGACCTATTGAATGTTGTTATTTACTTTACAGGTAATATCTCTTTTTATTAACATATTTTTCATGTATGTTGCTCTTGTATTTTATGTGGTGCATGTACCCTTAGACACGTATACAAAATCTCTCACCACCTTTACAGAGTGTTTCGCGTATAACAATATGATATAATTGTATTCTTATGTTCTTTGACATGTACATGTATATAAGATGTCTGTCTGTCTGTTTT